TTCTGAATAGAACTGTGGTAATCAACAGTAATAGTGGTGATTTTAAATTGAGTATCACATCCCTGTATTGTAATAACAGAATAGAGGAGAATAACTTGTCTTGTCAAAGGGTGTTCTAAAGTAACTGAACCAGCCTGTTTGAACTCTTGATGTAGAAGACAATTATTTAAAGCTCTGGATACAACTGAGGTAACCCATGGGGTAATGTAAGTGAATTTATCACTGATTATATTGTGGTGACAGAGTAGAGAAGAAGAATTCTTCTTGTCACTTGGGTTCTAAAGTAACTGAACCAGCCTGTGTTGACCCTTGACCAAAAGAAATGATTATTTAAAGCCCTGGATACAACTGTGGTGACTGTGTAACGAACATTTGTTTATATATTTCACATGTTTTAATTAATATATCATTTTAAAACAAATGGACTGTGTGCTGTTTATTTATCATTGAAATTTATCACCAACAAGTCAAAGACATTTACTGTAAAGAATATGGGCAATACATATGTAAAAACCTGACAATTGACATGATTTAAGCATATTTAAATTTTGCTAGCTCTTCAGTAAAAGTGCCACATTTACATTGGTCTTTAAAACTGATTGTTTTCTGGGTAAGTATAGATTGTTTTACTATATTTAATTTGTGTTCAGTCTCTTTCTTTGCATAAAACTCAACTGAAGTCAGGTTTCTGCTCTACAAAACACTTTCTGGCATGCCTTCTGTTATTATTTGATTCTTACCCAATTATTAGATGGAAATCAGTGAAACTAAAAATACCACAACTTAAGTCAGACCTTAGTTTTACATTATTAACTACATGCTAAAACTAACAATAGGTATAACCTGAGCTTTAAAATCGAATAAGTAGAGCCCAACAGCCCTGCCAAATTCCGTCCTTGTGTTGTATTCTCAGGTTCACTTAATACCAACAGGTAAGAGTAGTCCCACGGTTTTATTCCCAAGTTCACTTATTTCCTTTTCTGTAATTGGGTAGGATCTTCAAGATAACAAGAGTTTCAACAGAAAAATTACTGTAGAATTAAAATAACTTATCTTGGTTTTTACTGAGTTTAGAGTCAAAACAGAGACTGGACACAATGTGTAACACAGTGAAACAAACTTTAATCAGTTTAAAACATAATTAATACAACGAGTGTGTGGTCAGCAACTTTGCTGAAGGTCTAAAGCGTTCAGAAATCTGCATATTTTTCTGAAGAGCTTCTAAATTATGTTCTTTTCTAGCCTGATTGCATAGATAGTTTTATGGTTCCATCCTTCTCAAGATGTATGTGCTACCAAGTCACTGTTTGTCATTCCGATTTAAAAATAAAAGGAGTATATATCCTTAATGTATCACTTCATCTGCCAGTAGAAATAATCACTGTCTACCTTTACATAGTGCATTCCACTTTACAGCAATCTTAAGTGTTGGGAGTAGCTTCCTAATAATAGTGTCACATCTCTGTATGTTTGTTTGTTAATTCTTCTACGATACAAGTACTTTCTTAAATAAAACTTGTTTATTCTTCCTCAATACAACTTTGTAATGCACTTAATTTTCACAGTTACAAACACTATAGTTCACAACAATTCACTCACTTTTTACCGCGCTTGACTTAATTGTCCGTCTCCGCCAACTATAGTTCCGATCTCTGTATCTGCTATCCTCGGTTCCGCCGACCCTAACCGCTGACCTTGGTTCCTCACTTTCTCTCTTTCTCTCTGCCTTTGCTTCGCCTGTCTCTCTCACTGTCTAGCGCACTTATATACGATAATACCGCCAGTTCTAGAATCTTCTAGGCTCTCAACACGTGCTATCAGCGTCACTTGACTTCCGCTGTCGTAACACACTAGCGTTTAACGCGAATCTTCTAGAATACTCGTCACGTGACCCCCGCTGTCGTAACAATAGTAACTGTAATGTAACAAGTTACTTTTTCAGTAGCTTTAGTGAGTTACATTTATTTACTAGTAGCTTTTTACACTAATGATCTGTTTTTCCAGATGAAAAGAAGTGGCTTCTACCACAAATTTAATGAATTACGTTTTCTTTCTTGCAACAGAAGCACAAGTGAACTATTTCAATGTGATTTCCTCTAATCATTTTCCATAAAATGTATATACTACCCAACCATGATAAATTGGTGACCTGTACAGAACTTAGACTATGTCATATAGTAGCATATACTGCAAAGACTCTACTATCACAGCAAAATGCTGCCAAATAGTACTGTTTATAAATATAATCATAAACAATTTTATGAAAAACCATTATTATCTGATTGTGAATACTTTTAAAAACAAGCAGTTAAATTAGCTTACCAGTAAACATTAAATCTCCATAAAAATTAAATTACATTTTACAAACACCCCTTTTTTATAACAGACTTGTCTACTAATATGAGGTTTTTCCTTGGCACTAGCAATTATCTTTGGA